TTAAGAGGAAGAAGGATGCTTATGTAAGGTTTAGGGAAACAAAGAACGGAAAAGGCTCTAGAGGGATACAAGTTATCCAGGAAGGAGCTGAAGAAAGGGCTTAGGAGAGCTATAAGGGGGCATGAGAAAACCTTGGCAGATAGGAAAGGAAACCTCCAAGGCTTTTTACACGTACATGAGGAATAACAGAATGACCAGAGAAAGGGTAGGGCCGATCAAGGATTGTAAAGGGAATTCATGCACGGAGCCTAAAGAGATAGGAGAGGTCTTTATTGAATACTTTTCTTCGGTATTCACAACTGAGAGGGACCTAGTTGCAGAGGAGGACAGTGTGAAACAGGCTGGTAGGCTAGAGGAGGTCGATGTTAATAAGGAAGATGTGCTAGGAATTTTGAGGAAGTTGAAGATAGATAAGTCCCCCGGGCCTGATGGGATTTATCCAAGGATTCTATGGGAAGCGAGGGAAGAGATTGCAGGCCCTTTGGCGATGATATTTTCATCCTCACTGTCCACGGGTATAGTGCCAGAAGATCGGAGAGAGGCAGATGTCATTCCCTTGTTCAAAAAAGGGAATAGGGATAACCCCGGAAATTATAGGCTTACGTCAGTGGTGGGCAAATTATTGGAAAGGGCTCTGAGAGATAGGATTTATGATCACTTGGAAAGGCACAGTTTGATTCGAGATAGTCAGCATGGATTTGAGAGGGGTAGATCATGCCTCACAAACCTTATTGAATTCTTTGAAGAGGTGACCAAACACGTGGATGAAGGTAAAGCAGTGGATGTGGTATAAGTGGATTTAAGTAAGGCGTTTGATAAGGTTCCCCATGATAGGCTCATGCAGAAGGTAAGGAGGCATGGGATAGGGGCAAATGTGGCAGATTGGATTCAGAATTGGCTGACCCTTAGAAGACAAAGGGTGGTAGTGGATGGAAAATATTCAACATGGTGCTCAGTTACAAGTGGTGTACAACAAGGATCTGTTCTGGGTCCTCTTCTATTTGTGATTTTTGTAAATGATTTGGATGAAGGAGTGGAATGGTGGATTAGTAAGTTCACGGACGATACGAAGGTGGGTTGCATTGTGGACAGTGCAGAGGGCTGTTCTAGGTTACAAAGGGACATTGATAGGATGCAGACCTGGGCTGAGAAGTAGCAGATGGAGTTTAATCCTGAAAAGTATGAGATGATTCATTTTGGAAGGAAAAATTTAAAAGCAGAATACAGCGTTAACAGAAAGATTCTTGGCAGTGTGGAGGAGCAGAGGGATCTTGGGGTTCATGTCCACAGTTCCCTGAAAGCTGCCACCCAGGTGGATAGAGTTGTTAAGAAGGCGTATGGTGTGTTAGCTTTCATTAATAGAGGGATCGAGTTCAAGAGCCGTGAAGTTATGCTCCAGCTATACAAAACCCTGGTTCGGCCACATCTGGAGTATTGCGTCCAGTTCTGGTCGCCTCATTACAGGAAAGATGTGGAAAGTGTTGGAAAAAGTGCAGAGGAGATTTACCAGGATGTTGCCTGGAACGGACGGAAGGTCTTACGAGGAAAGGTTGAGAGAGCTAGGGCTTTTCTTTTTAGAACGACGAAGGATGAGAGGTGACTTGATAGAGGTGTACAAAATGATCAGAGGTAATAGATAGAGTAGACAGCCAGAGACTTTTTCCTCGGGTGGAGGTTGCTATTATGAGGGGGCATAGTTTTAAAGTGACTGGAGGTAGATACTGGGGAGACACCAGAGGTAGGTTCTTTATTCAGAGAGTGGTTGGGGCGTGGAATGCATTGCCGGAGAGGGTAGTGGAGTCGGCCTCATCAGGGGCATTTAAGCGGCTATTAGATAGGCATATGGATGATAGTATAAGGTAGGGGTGGAGGTTAGATAGACCTTAGGATTAGGGTAAAAGTTCGGCAGAACATTGTGGGCTGAAGGGCCTGTACTGTGCTGTACTGTTCTATGTTCTATGTTCTAAGTGTAGAATGGACAACGGAAATATTTTGTCAGATTAAGAAAACAGGAATAATAAGAGCTCAGAAAAGTAACATCACACAACCATTCATTATTCTCAAACTTCTTGAAGGCTGAGAAAACCAACAGCTTCCGATCAATGTGATAACTGAGCTCAGTTATATTCCTGGGACATACATGAACATGTATGTCCTTAATGAGGTCATACTAAGTGAGCTGCTTATTTGTAGAGCACATGTTATGGGCTGAATGGCCTCTTTCTGCACTGTATCAAGTTTGAAATTCCATGAAATATACTAAAAACAACTCTGAGAACTGGAATCAAGTCAGACAGGAGTGTTATCCTGGTGCGTACACACTTCCCCTTCGCAGTTCATCGTCCTATCCTCCCCATCTACTGAATAGACATATGCACTCAGATTAACACAACATTCATCTTAAATATCCATCAAAATAAAAATAGTTCTGAAGAAACCTTTCTGAATGGTTTGTCCAACAATGACCATAGCAGATCATAAAGCAATCCCTTCAATCATTTCTCATTCCCTGTGCCACAGCCTGCACTTGCCTTCCCATTGTATAAGGTAACAGCTCCGAAAGGGTTAATGATGAAGACTGCATCAGGCTCCAACCAACATGATGATGTCACACAGTCTTGGGTGAAGAACTGAAAGGTTTAGCTGGTGGGGGGAGGGGTCAGATGCATCATCTCTAGTTCCTGATAATCTTTGTCATTCTGCCTAACTAACCAATATAACTTGTATCTATTACTAAAATGCAATAAGCTATATTTTATTGTTAAGACAAGTTCACTTGTTTGTTAAAACTAACTAATGGTTAATCCTCTACCATTGTTAACTGAAGACCCCCTTTGACCCTGTACAGCAAGGAAGATTCTATTCCAAGCTCAAGCCACTATCAAACTAGGTTTCAATCCAGCTAATATACTGCCAGTTTTAACAACTTTCAGAAGTCTCACATGTATAACATTACCGATGCCTTCTAAAATCCAAAGAAGTCTTATTCTTACTCTTGAACATATCGAACTAGATGAATGAATTCTGGTTGTAAATCCCCTGATGACCTCTGGACGCTTCATGTAATTCTTGACAACATCTCATCATTGTTCCCAGTGCTTTTCACACTGAGGAGATGTGAGGGGAGCCCACCAGCCTCACTCACAATGTTTTGAATGTCTTGTGATATTTGCTACCATTTGGGGTTCAAGTAGTGATCCAAGGGTAACGGAGCCTTGCTTAATTATTCTTTCATTTGCTCGTGGATTTGACAGCAAATCTAATTTATTAATCATTCTTAGGAGGTGAAACACAACTCCGTGTATTGGTAAGGCCATGCATTTCCTCTCTTGTCTGTGAATTTATAGTACTGAAGACTTGCCACACTTCTAGCCAAGCTGTTCCAGTACAGCTATAAAACTGGCATCTACCCAACAATGTGGAAAGTTGCCCAGGTATGTCCTATACCCAAAATACATGACAAATCCAACCCAGCCAGTTACCACCCAATCAGTCTACTTTCAGTTATCTGTCAAGTGATGGAAGGTGTCATCAATAGTGCTATCACGCAGCACCTTATCAGCAATAACCTACTCAGTGATGCCCAGTTTGGTTTCTGCCAGGGCCACTCAGCTCCTGACCTCATTACAGCCTTGGTTCAAACATGGACAAAAGAGCTGAATTCCAGAGGTGAGATGAGAGTAACAGCCCTTGACATCAAGGCCACATTCAATGAGCCATTGTAAAGCTGGAATCAATGAGTACGAAGGGGTGAACTCTCCACTGGTTGGAGTCATACATGGCACATTGGAAAACGGTTGTGGCTTTTGGAGGCCTGTCATCTCAGCTCCAGGACATCTCTGCAGGAGTTCCTCAGGGTAGTGTCCTAGGCCCAACCGTCTTCAGCTACTGCATCAATGACCTTCCCTCTAATGGTCAGAAGTAGAGATGTTCACCAATAATTGCACAGTGTACAGCATCATTCGTGACTCCTCAGACACTAAAGCAGCTTATGTCCAAATTCAACAAGATTTGGACAATATCCAGGCTTTAGCTGACAAGCAAAAAGTAACATTTGCAACACACAAGTCAAGCGTGTGATGGAATATTCCCCATTTGCCTGGATGAGTGCAGCTCCAACAATAAGAAGCTTGACATCATCCAGGACAAAACAACCCTCTTGACTGGCACCACATCCACTAAACACCCAATCTATCCACTACCAATGCTCAGTAGCAGTAGCTGTGTGCAGTATCTTCAAGATGCACTGCAGAAATTCACCAAAGACAGCACTTTCCAAGTCCACGACCACTGCCAAGGGCAGCAGATATATGGGAACACCTGCAAGTTCCCCTCCAAGCCACTCACCATCCTGACTTGAAAATATACCACTGTTCCTTCACTGTTGCTGGGTCAAAATCCTGGAATTCCCTGCCTAAGGGCATTGTAGATCTACCTACTGGGCATGGATTGCTGTGGTTAGTGTCATTGGTTTAGCAGCACGGACTCGAGGATCGGGGTTGAGGAGCTCAGCTCGAAGCAGGAGCTGTTCCAAAGACCACCTCACTTTATTGAGGGAAGATGATAAGATAAACTTTATTATTTCTGCGGCTTTATATTCTGTGTTTGGGTTTATTTGCTTTAAGATGGCACTGGAGAGTGGTGACACTAAACAACACTTTTCACTGTATTTGTAATAAATATAAGTGACAATAAATAAATCAAATCAAATCAAAATCAACAAATGCTGGCCCAGCCAGCAATGCCCACATCCCATGAGTAAATCAGCATTGTCCTCTCATTCAGATTGGTAAATTGTGTCCTAGAGTTTCCTGACTGGGTGGGACCGAGAAAATTGCTGTTTGATATATTCGCAGATTCATGATCCTTCCTTCCAAATCTCTTCATAGAAACAGAAATATTGACAAGGTCCAATTGTTTATTAAATCAATATAAATTATTGAGCTTTCAGAAAAGCTAAACAAAATTGAATCACTCGAAAACTCAGCAGTGAGTCTTACCAGACAGCTGGATGGTGAAGGGACAAGGTCATGGCAGACAATGAACTGTGCTAATGGTCCATCTTCTTGTTTCTCTGAAAAAAGGGGAATTTTGAGTGAATCAGCTTTAACCAAACTAACTGAAAGCATGGCTGGAGGTAGGGAACAAGCAAACATAGAATCATAGAATCCCTACAGTGCATAAGAGGCCATTCAACCCATCAAGTCTATACTGACCCTCCAAAAGAGAATCCTCTGCCCCCACAGCTGTATCAAGGAATTCCACAGACTCTCAACCCTCTGAGAGACAAAAATCCTCATCTCAGTCTTAAATTGGCAGTCCTTTATTCTAAGGCCATGGTCTCTCGTCTGAGACTCTCCCATGGGGGGAAACATCCTCTCAGCATTTATTTTGTCAAGATCTTTATGAATCCTATATGCTTCAATGAGATCACCTCTCATTCTTCTAAACTCCAATGAAAAGAGTTCCAATCTGTTTCACCTTTGCTCATAAGTTAACCCCTCCACACCAGGGCACTAGTCAATGGTGTATCGTCCTGCTAATCAGCATCTCCTGCTGGGCTACTATGCGTTAACACTTCCTTATGTCTACATTGTGATAGTGCCAGCTGTTGTTTTATAGTCTGGGCAAAACCAGCAACTTGTCTATCATGCTCTGGCATGCTAGCATCAGAGATGAGCTCGCGTCTCCTGTAGTTTATTGTGCGCAGATTCCTCTTGCTCCTTTACGCTGAACAAGCACCACCTGCTAGTCTGCGGTGTGTTAGTATCTCCTGCTGGTCTAGCTCTCACTGGTCATCAGTGCCCTAGTGCTGTAGCCAGTTTATAGTGAGCTAGGCTGCTTTAGTGCCTGCTGCTGGTCTGAGCTGCTGGTTCTGTTCATATTGGTGCAGTGTCACCTCTAAATGGGCTATGGTCAATTAACAGCTGCTGTTGGCTTATGATGTTTTAGCAGCACCTGATGGTCTGTGGTGAGCTAGTGCCTCCTGTTGTCAATTGTGCTCCAGCATCTCTTGCTCGTACTCACTATGCGTCCCTTTCTAGTCTATGGTACAGCTGCACTTCCTGCTGGTCTATGGTGTGTTAGTTGAGCTATGGTGTGTTAATGCCTCCTGTTGGTCATGGATGGACAAGCACCCCCAGCTGGGGGTCTCTGGTGTGCTGATACTGTACTGATCAATGCTGAGCTAGTGCCATATGCTGCTCTGTGTTGCATTTCTGCATCTTACTGATCTACGGTACCTAGTGCCTCCTGGTGGGCTATGAGGAGCTGGCATCTCCTGCTGTCTATTCTGCACACATTCCGCCTGCTAGTCTATGCTGCTTCAGTGCCTCCTGCTGATCTGTGATGTGCTAGTACCTCCTGTAGGTCTATACTGCAGTTGCATCCTGTTTGTCTGTGGTGTACAAATGCTTCCTAGTAGACCATATCATAGTCTCCTGCAGCTCCTGCTGGTTTAAAGTGAGTTAGTGGCTCATGCCAGTCTGTGGTGAGCTTGTGCCTCCTGCTGGTATATGTTGCATTCACACTTCCAGCTAGCCTATGGTGTCCAGGCGCCTACTGCTGGACCATTGTGCATCAACACCTCCTACGTGTCTACGGTGCTCTAGCACCTCCTGCTGGGCCACAGTGAGCCTCCATCCTGCTGATTTCTGATGCATTTGGGCCTCCTGCCAGTCAGTTGTGTGTTAGCACTTTCTGCGCGCCTCTTATGCATTGGTGCCTGCTGCTAGTCAACCGTGTGCATTGGCACCTCCTGCCAGAATTCTGTGCACTATTGCCTCCTGTTGCTCTGTACTGCACTAGCACCATCTGTTGGTCTACCAGAAGCACTTACTGCTGGTCTAGTGCCTCTTGCTAGTCTGTGGTTAATGCATCTAGCTGGTCTATGTGGCTTAACACCACATGCTGGTTTATAGCGTATGGTGGTCTATGGCACATTAGCATTTTTTGCGGATCTATGGCAACCTAGTGACCCCATAGTGGTCCATGCTGATGAATGGCCCAGCAAAGGGAGAGACATAACCTGAAAGGCTTCAGCAGGCACTTGCTAACAGTTAGAGTAACCTGTATATCACCAGCACTAGATACCGCAAGGCTCAGGGATATGGCTCTCCCACTGGCTGAACACTAATTGGAAGGACTAATGAGAAATCACAGATGTCCTGAACTCAGTTTGGTGCCCCTCCCACCTGAAGGTGATCAGTGTCACATGGAGAATGCCAAGGTCTCTATGTCCTTCACGGTGGCCACATGCCCATCACTTTAACCCTGTCTGTGATGGGGGTAGGTTTACAGAGCGACAGGTGCTTAACTGGAGAAATTCACACTACTTGGGCTGTGCTCTGGAGTGATCTGGAGATGATCAACAAATAGGATCACTGCATTTGAAGGACATATTTAAAATGATTGTGTGATGGTATGAATATCTAGTGTAATATCTAACTAATCTCATTTAGGCACAACGTAGGGCTGTGCCCAGCAATACTTACTATAAACATTCTGCAATATTTGCTAAAATCATGTAGGTATATTGAACAGTATATCTGAATATTAACTCATTATTTAAGTTAGGTTTACCTGCTGAGAGCAGCTGGATTAAGTCTTGAGACTGCGAAGATACAGTTGAGGGAAATAACTCCTCTTCTGAGTTTGTGGGCTTGTGTTTCCACTTTGACACAGAATGGAGCGACTGCACTTGGGGTAAAGTGACTTGCTGCATATGAGGCTTCAGTTGAACAGAAGGGACTGTTGCAGGGGATGGTGGACTGGTGTCTGAAGGAGACAGCATCATGGCTGCAGGAAAGGTGAAAGCTGAGCATTGATGGCTGAAAGGTGATGGTGCGGAGTCAGTGGTGACTGGGAGAAACACATCAGTTCCAGATCTGTATTTTGGATTCAGAAGAGGCCTTGGACAAGGTAATGGTTCTTGCTGGCTGATTACTGTAGAACTTGGTGCAGACAGAATTGTGTTCCAATAGGAAGGTTTGCAAGGTGACTGAGCTGTGATGCTCTTTGGAAGTAGATATCTTGGTCTCTGTTCATAATGTACTGGTGGTTGGAACTTTGAGCCAGAAATAACACTCTGGCTGTCAACAGACTCTGTGGACCCAGGGAAAAGCTGGTTGGAGATTGCAGCTGTATTAATGGTCAGGGTAAACCCAGGATCTGAGAGGATGTCTACCTGTAAAACAAGATAATAATCTGCGTATTTCAACGTTGCAATGTCTTGGGAGGTTTTAGTATTAAACCATTACCCCCAAGTGTCATGGACTGCGTATTTTGCTCTGTGCAATAACTTATTGATAAGGCCAATGTGCGTAAGCAGGGTTTTCCAAGAACAGCAGTAGTTCAAACTCAGTCAAGTACAGAGCAGAAAAATATCCAAAAACAGAAAAAGATCTGACTCACTAAACATCTGTGAAAATCGGTCAAGTTACTTGCTCAAAATTACATAGATTGAAGCTGAGAAACTGCAGCAGAACATGCTTCAGATAAGACTTAGAGGTAACCTTAATAACCTTAACACCTCAGTCTAGCAATAGGGTTAAAATTTCAATAAGGGGAACCTAGTCCCACCTCTGACTCTTGGTTTTAACATACAGAAAAGCCCAGGAGGTGGATGCAGCAGACAGGAGAGCAGATCAGCCAGGAAGTGGAATAGGGATTCCAGCCCAGGAGATAGGCCTTGGAGGTAACTCTAGGAGGTGGGTTTAGGAGTCAGGCCCAGGAGTCAGGCCTTCGAGACAGGTCCAGGAGGTGAGATGAGGATGCCTAGGAGACAGGTCAGGAGAGACGAGAGGTGAATAACTTAGTCACCTGAGGTGAGTCCTCAAATATTTTGCTTTTCCAATGTGTGACTGATGCTCACTGGTTAGCCTTGCTGCCTCACAGCACCAGTGGTGTGATTTTAGCCTTGGATGACTGTCCGTGCAGAGTTTGCACATTCTCCCCATGTCTACTTGGGTTTCCTCCGGGTGTTCCAGTTTCCTCCAACAGTACAAAGATGTGAAGGTTAGATGGATTGGCTATGCTAAATTGCCCTATTGTGTCCAGGGATGTGCAGCCTAGGTAGATTAGCTGCAGTAAACGTGGGTTGTAGAATGCTCTTCAGATGGTCAGTGCAGATTTGATGGGCCAAAGGCCTCTTTCTGCATTGTAGGGTAATCATGATTAAAAACGTACCCATTAGTGATAAAACATTTGCATAATATACATCATGGTTCATGGCTCAGACTGATTGTACAGAAATAATATAAAAAGGAGTTTACAGTTAGTATCACAGAGCAGTTGCAGATGACACGAGGCAGTCAAGCGTCACATACCATGACAGTAGATCTCCTGGCAGGAAGTGGACAGACAAGATTATGTCAGGGTTAGATAAACCAAACGAGGAAAAGCAGTACCCAGTGAGTGACGATATAAGGTCTAGGAAAACACAGATTTAAGGTTGTGGGCAAGTGAAGCAAGAGGTGTGTGACAGGAACATTTTTACACAGCGAGTGGGAATGCCCTGGAAGTCACTGTCCATAAGGGCAGTGGAACTGGGGACAGCAGACTATTTCAAAAAGCAGTTGGATAGGCACTTCAGCGAAATAAACCTGCAGAGCTATGGGCCTATGCCTATCCCACAGGCGAGTGGGACTGACTGAAATGCTCTACAGAGAACTGGCATGGACTGGATGGTTGAATGACTCACTTCTGTGATGAAATGCCTCAATGCCCCTAAATAGGCTTTTCTCAGTTACTATAATTGTCCATGTTCTTTGGCTGGTCTTCAATTTTAACAGTGAGCCTTGTATTCAGCTCGCTTTGAAAAATAAGATGATACTCATTTCATGATTTCATAACACTGTTGGAGGTTTAAATCCCATTGCAATTCCTGAACAAGATGTGGAGGTGCCGGTGTTGGACTGGAGTGGACTGATGAAGGGGCTACGCTCTGAAAGCTTGTGATTTCAAATAAACCTGTTGGACTATAACCTGGTGTCATGTGATTCATTCCTGAGCAAAATCAAGGAGGAAAACTCTGCCTCAAACTGATTGCAAACAAACTCTGAACACATTCATTTAGGTGTTTTGTCTGCTGTTAAAAACAAACCACTTTTCAATATAAGAACAGGCTGTTCAGCCCCTCAAGCTTGTTCCTCCACTCAAGGAGATGGATCATTGTTGACAACACAAACCAACATCATGTACCAACATTTACTTCACATCTTGGTTACCAAAAGTCTATCAAATTCAGTTTTAAAGTTAACAGTTTTACTCTAGTATTTAATGAAGATAGTTTCAAATTCTACCACCCTTTCTGTGTAGAAGTGTTTCTGAATTTCACTCTGGCTCCAATTTTTAGACAATACTCCGAAGTCCATGGGAGCTACTGGCTTCCTGACCGGTGGAAACAGTCTCCCACCATCGACTCTCTAAATTCCCTTAATATTGTGAAACATTTGATTTATTCAGCACCTGAGCTTCTGATTTCCAGGGAATGCGGCCCTATTTTGGGAATCTCAATTTATAATTTAATTCTTGAAGTCTGGGTATCATTCTTGAAAATCTTCATATCTGCAGTATCTCCTTCACAAGGTGTGGTGCCCAGAACTGCTCCCAGTGATTTCAGGTGTGATCCAACCAGGACTTTGAATTGTTGAAGTATGAATTCTAGCCCCTTATATTCTAATCGTCAAGACATAAATGTATAGCTATAAGTGTATTAACCTTACAGATTATTTTCTGTGCCTGTTGGTGACAGTTTAATGATCGGTGTACTTGAACCCCAAGTTTCTTCGGATCACCACTGCTTCTCACTTTTCACTATTTAGAAAATTCCTTCTCTCCAAGATCCAAGTGGGTGATTTCAGGTATGCCTGCATTCAAATCCATTTGTCACCATTTCGGCCATTCACTTAATTTATCAATGTCTCTGTAATTTTATGTTTCTTTCAACATGCCAACTACATTTATGTCATTGGCAATTTGGTTATGCGGCTCGACCCCATCATCACTAGTGAATAGTTTAGGCTCCAACATAGATCTATGTGGGACCCTGGGAACCTGTTGTCTCTATTATATGAGGGAACAAGGTAATGTTACATGGAAATGTTCAGAGATCCCACAGTGTAAGCCTTAATGTTTTATTTTTAGTCTGTCAGTGTGATGAAACCTAGAAATAAAGCAAAATTAATGATGAACTTGGCATCTTTAGCACAATTGTGATCAATTCAGAAATATATTGTTCGACCCATATATCCATGTATGTGTCGTTAGTACAAAGTGGAAAAACGGAAATGTTCATTAACTTGGCACTAAAGTGTGAACAATATTGTTTCAAAATGTAAGTCAGAAACATCAAGATATATTTAATGGAGCTGACCTGTGGATGATGATTGTCATGCAGCATATTTTCTGTTGGGACAGTGAAGGTTACTGTTCCAAAGGGGTTGCTGCAGAAGTTTGAAAGGTGACTGTGCTCTGGAAAGGAATTGGCTGGGTGTGGATGATGGGGACCACTGAAGAACCCTGAGGAAGAGGATGCACAGAAAAGGTCACAAAGCTACACATAAGAACGGTTGAGGACTATTTATTTCTCTGTGACCAGGATCTATAATTCATTCAACAAACATTTTTCCAAACTCCTGACGCAACGTTGAGGACTTTGGTTAAGTTCCTTGTAGTCAAGACCCCAACTCTCTCAATTGCTCTTCCAATTAGCTTAGCTCTTCCAAAGCTCTTAGCTTTGTATCCTCCTCAAGGTTAGTCATTTTCTCCTGTTATTATCTAATCAGAGCTGCGTGTAGTATATCAGAAACTGAACAGTACAACACTGCTTGATTTATAATCCATTGAAAAGAATAATCCAATCCATCAGACACTAAAAATCCTGCTAAACGTACCAGTATTTTCAATTTTGACTCTAGGTTTGAATTTGTTTAGTTTTTGTACCCACTGTTTTCTGCACATTTTCACTAAAGTGTTCTGGGGAATTTGCTACGATTGGAAATTGGAGGATTGGAGACTGACCAGGAGAACACTGTAATTGTCTAATCCAGAGGTAACAATAACATGGATGTGTATATCAACAGGAAATGAGTTGAACACAAGCAGGCAGATTTATAAAAACAACAGCAAGTAACAAACAGATGAATTAGCAGCCAAAACATTAACAATCTTCAGTTGCAGCCAATAAATGGGTGTCTCCACTTAGTGTTCACCTCAGGGGTAACCCCTGGCACTCTTACTGATACTAACATAATGGTGGTTATACTCTGAGTGGTTTCAGGCAATAAGTTGGAGGTAAATTATACCAACTTGACCTGATTCACAGAAGTGCTAGGAAATTACCATCTCCAACCAGAGGGAATCTAATCATTTCCACTGACGTTCAAACGCACTATAATTGCAGACTCTCCCACTATTAATATCCTGGGGTGTTACAATTGATTAGAAATTGAACTGGACCAGTCATATAAATACTGGGCTATAGGAGCAGGTCAAATGCTCAGAATTCTGTGATGTGTAACTCAGCACCTGCCTCCCCAAAGCCTGCCTACCATGTACAAGGCACAGGTCAGGAGTGTGGTAGAAAACTCTCTTCTTGGCTGGCTGTTGCAGCTCCAACAAGAAGTTCACATCAGCCAAGATGAAGCACCCTGCTTAATCATCACTACTTTACCACTGTAAACATTCACTGCCTCAATCAATGCACACTGGCAGCTGTGTATACCATTAACAAGATGGATTGCAGCAACTCAGCAAAGTTTCTTTGACAGCACCTTCCAAACTCACAACCTTCCTCGAAGACACAGATCAGCCTGACTTGGAACTACATCACTGTTCCTTTCCTGTTGCTATTAAGAATCCTAAAACTCTTGCCCCACTCCAATTGCACACACATGTGAATCTATAGGGTGAATTTTTATTTGCAGATACATTTTATTTCGTTCAAAAAGCACACAATTTATAGACAATCAGTCAATGTGGCATTTTATAAATTCATACTTTAGAAATAAAACCAGTCTGACTCCAAACTAAAACACAAACAGGTGTTAAACAAGGCCTCACACCTAACATGCATTGTCTGACCTAAAATGTCACCTCTTCTTTACACTGATAAAACCTTTAGTTCTCTCAGGACATTGACTTGAAAGGAATTCAGGGATTTACATATACATATTAATTAATTAAAACCTTCTAACTGATTAAAAACTTAACAGCATCTTAGGTTTGTTTAGTACATCCTCATCAATGGTGTGACCCGTTGATCTTTTACATTAATTCTATGTCTGATACTACCTCCCACTAACACCTGAAGAAGGACTGAGGCTCCGAAAGCTTGTGTTTTCAAATAAACTGTTGGACTATAACCTGGTGTTGTGTGATTTCTGACCTTGTCCACTCCAAATGGACTAGAACGGTTCAAGGACAATTGGGGTTGGGCCAGCAACAGTCACATCCCTTGAATGGATTAAAAGGAAGTTATGAGGACAGACTGTAGGAACTAGGCTTGTTCTTCTTGGAGCAGAGAAGTCAAGAAGAAATTTATTAGTGTTGTGTTCTCTGAAAGGGGTCTTTAAAATTGTGAAAGGGTCTTGATAAACTGAGCAAGGAGAAAATATTTCCAATAGTAGAAGGGTCAGGAACCAGAGAATACAGATTTCAGATAAATGACACAAGAGTGAATGAAATGATGAGAATGTTTTTAAAGCTGAGTTTTTACAATTGGGACAGAGATTTAGGGAAGCAGATTCACTGATAACTTTAAAAAGAGAATTGAAAATGGAAGATTCTCAGGGCTATTGGAGTGGGATGAAATGGACAGTGTTACAAAGATGCTTTAGAGTTAATATTTCTTATGAATTTTGTTTATTGATTAAAGTTTGAAGGTTTGTAGAAAAATTGATTTATTTCAAGTTTTGTGGTTTCTTCAAAAGAGACCACATGGAATTTGGATCAGAGATAGTAGGAACTGCAGATGCTGGAGAATCCGAGACAACAAGGTGCAGGGCTGGATGAACACAGCAGGCCAAGCAGCATCGTAGGAGCAGAGAGGCTGACGTTTCGGGCCTAGACCCTTCATCAGAAAAGGGGGAGGGGAAGGGGGTTTTGAAATAAATAGGGAGAGAGTGGGAGGCGGATAGAAGAGGGATAGAGGAGAGGATAGGTGGAGAGGAAACAAACAGGTCGAAGAGGCGGGGATGGAGCCAGTAAAGGTGAGTGTAGGTAGGGAGTTAGGAAGGGGATAGGTCAGTCCAGGGAGGACGGACAGGTCAAGGGGGTGGGATGAGGTTGGTCGGTAGGAGATGGAGGTGCGGCTTGAGGTGGGAGGAGGGGATAGGTGGGAGGAAGAACAGGTTAGGGAGGCAGGGACGAGCTGGACTGGTTTTGGGATGCGGTAGGGGGAGGGGAGATTTTGAAACTTGTGAAATCCACACTGATACCATTGGGCTGCAGGGTTCCCAAGCGGAATATGAGTTGCTGTTCCTGCAACCTTCGGGTGGCATCGTTGTGGCACTGCAGGAGGCCCAGGATGGACATGTCGTCTGAGGAATGGGAGGTAGAGTTGAAATGGTTCGCGACTGGGAGGTGCAGTTGTTTATTGCGAACCAAGCGTAGGTGTTCTGCAAAGCGGTCCCCGAGTCTCCGCTTGGTTTCCCCGATGTAGAGGTAGCCACACCGGGTACAGCGGATGCAGTATACCACATTGGCAGATGTGCAGGTGAACATCTGCTTGATGTGGAAAGTCTTCTTGGGGCCTGGGATGGGGGTGAGGGAGGAGGTATGGGGGCAGGTGTAGCACTTCCTGCGGTTGCAGGGAAAAGTGCCGGGTGTGGTGGAGCTGGAGGGGAGTGTGGAGCGGACAAGGGAGTCACGGAGAGAGTTGTCCCTCCGGAAAGCAGATAAAGGTGGGGAGGGAAAGATGTCTTTGGTGGTGGGGTCGGATTGCAGATGGCGGAAGTGTCGGAGGATGATGCGTTGGATCCGGAGGTTGGTGGGGTGGTACGTGAGGACGAGGGGGATTCTTTTTTGGTTCTTATTGCGTGGACGGGGTGTGAGGGATGAGGTGCGGGAGATGTGGGAGACACGGTTGAGGGCGTTCTCGACCACCGAGGAGGGGAAGTTACGGTCCTTGAAAAACGAGGACAACTGAGATGTACGGGAGTGGAATGCCTCATCCTGGGAGCAGATGCGGCAGAGGCGAAGGAATTGGGAATAGGGGATAGCATTTTTGCAGGAAGGTGGGTGGGAGGAGGAGTATTCTAGGTAGCTGTGGGAGTCGGTGGGCTTGAAATGAATATCGGTTTCTAGGTGGTTGCCCGATATGGAGACAGAGAGGTCCAGGAAGGGGAGAGAGGTGTTAGAGATGGTCCAGGTAAACTTAAGGTTGGGGTGGAAGGTGTTAGGGTTTTTTTTGTTCACAAGGCTTCCTAGAAATCATATAACTGGTGACAACTGCTTGTACTGCTATAGGTGCTTTAAACAGTGACTGGATTGAGAACTCTCCCCCATTTCTGAAGAAGGGTCTAGGCCCGAAACGTCAGCCTTCCTGCTCCTCTGATGCTGCTTGGCCTGCTGTGTTCATCTCTACATCTATCTCTACATCTTGTTATCTCAGATTCTCCAGCATCTGCAGTTCCTGCTATCTCTGGATTGAGAATACTTTGGTATCTGGAATTAACTGGAGAGTAGGAAGTCAGTGTGAAAGGGCTGCCAAGCTAATCTCTCATATCCCTTGGCAGCATGGTGGCACAATGGTTAGCACTGCTTTTTTTCCACACTTTACAATCAATTACATTTTAAAAAGTATTTCATTTTCTGACAGTGGAAATGTTACATAAGAATATATGAAGTAGGAGCAGGAGAAGGCCATTCAGCCCCTCGAGCCTGTTCCGACATTTAATACAATCATGGCTGATCTCATCTCGGCCTCAACTCCACTGCCTGCCTGCTCCCCATAACACTTCAGCCCATTACTAGAATAGAACAGCCTTTATTGGCACATATACTCAGTGAAAAGTTTATACATTGCCATTACAGTGCCAACTCAGATACAAAAGTACCTTGACACAACTTCTTTAGGTACAAGCTCTTAGACAACAGAGAAATAAAATGTCCAGCATTGCAGAGTTCAGTACAACAGATCACAACAGAGAAATAAAATGTCCAGCATTGCAGAGTTCAGTACAACAGACCACAACAGAGAAATAAAATGTCCAGCACTGCAGAGTTCAGTACAACAGACCACACTGGCACCTTGCTTCCAGTCTGCACCGAGCCCTTGCTCCACCCTGTGTTGGCAACACACCACACCTGCAGGTCACTGCGGGAGGCCGGATGGTGCCAAGCAATGTCAGGAGGCCCCTATGAGAGGAGGCCTCTGCGCCAGGTCAGGAGTCATCGCTGGAGACTGGGAATCATCGCCAGAGGCCGTGACAGAAGAAAGTAAAACAGCATTAAAAGGAAGAGAAAGAAGAAAAGGAGAGCTCCGACTGGAGAGTCTTACTCTGCCGCCATCTTGCTCT